GTTTTAGCCCCTTAATGCCGAGCGCCAGACAGGGTAACAACAAGTACAATCTTTTAACGTCTTTTTGTATGACGCGGCCCGGGATCGAACCCTGGACCTTCCGCTCTCCGGGCGGACGCTCTACCACAAGACCACGGAGGCGGTCCCTAGAATCCGAAGATTGATGGTGAAGTTGTTATTGTTAGACCCACCTCTATCAATGGACACCCTGTGTCTCTCGGCAAGCAATGGACACCCTGCGTCTCTCGGCAAGCAATGGACACCCTGCGTCTCTCGGCAAGCAATGGACACCCTGCGTCTCTCGGCAAGCAATGGACACCCTGCGTCTCTCGGCAAGCAATGGACACCCTGCGTCTCTCGGCAAGCAATGGACACCCTGGGTCTCTCGGCAAGCAATGGACACCCTGCGTCTCTCGGCAAGCAATGGACACCCTGCGTCTCTCGGCAAGCAATGGACACCCTGCGTCTCTCGGCAAGCAATGGACACCCTGCGTCTCTCGGCAAGCAATGGACACCCTGCGTCTCTCGGCAAGCAATGGACACCCTGCGTCTCTCGGCAAGCAATGGACACCCTGCGTCTCTCGGCAAGCAATGGACACCCTGCGTCTCTCGGCAAGCAATGGACACCCTGCGTCTCTCGGCAAGCAATGGACACCCTGGGTCTCTCGGCAAGCAATGGACACCCTGGGTCTCTCGGCAAGCAATTGACACCCTGGGTCTCTCGGCAAGCAATGGACACCCTGCGTCTCTCGGCAAGCAATGGACACCCTGGGTCTCTCGGCAAGCAATGGTCACCCTGGGTCTCTCGGCAAGCAATGGACACCCTGTGTCTCTCGGCAAGCAATGGGAATTTTCAATCAAAACAATAAAAAATGATTAACATTGTTTTTCAGATTAATACATCAATAGATACAGCCGACAGAGAACACTGACATCGATGTTCACTAATGAATTTTATCTTTCGATCTATGTATTGCCACAGGGCCAAATTGATAGATGAATCAATTGTTACGCTCCAAACACACTCATGTTGTTCAAGTTTTAATGGTCATGCTTCATGAAAAGAGTTCATAAATGTTGATTTAGTCATTAAGCGGTGGTCACCAGATGGAAACTTTCCAAGACATGGCATTGCTATCATAGCCAAATAAATTGAGCCCTTTAAGGATGAAATGCTACAGACAGCTGTTTCCTAATCTTAATGCAATGATTGTTAACTCTGTGTTAAAGCTTGGAGTAAAGAATGCAGGAGTTGGAATGAGTGTTGTTCGATTCTTATCTCCGTTTAGTTCTTTAATGCTGTCTTACAAGGCCCTGAACAAAACATCACTGGGTGACACAGCATGCACAACAGTCAACCTTGGTACTTTTGAACAATCTGACTCTTTCACTCTTTCACCACCGCCACAACCACCATCATCATCATCATCATCATCATCATCATCATCATCACCATCACCACCATCATCATCATCATCATCATCATCATCATCACCATTACCATCACCACCATCATCATCACCACCGCCACAACCACCATCATCATCATCATCATCATCATCATCATCACCACCATCATCATCACCACCGCCACAACCACCATCATCATCATCATCATCATCATTACCATCACCACCATCATCATCACCACCGCCACAACCACCACCACCACCATCATCATCATCATCATCATCATCATCACCATTACCATCATCACCATCATCATAACCACCACCACCACCACCATCACTCTCACCATTAGCATCATTTGTATTATTGCTGTTTGTGTGGTCAAAGAATCTGGTAGTCTGAATAGCTGAGAGCAGTACCATATTTCATGATAAGCGCCATAAATTCTACAAATTCCCATCCAGAAGACCAAGTAAACCCAGTCGACAGTTGCTCTCTGCCACAAGATATTTTCAAGCTTTTTCGTTCATCAGTTTGTGAGTTTTGTGAGGACCTCATTAGAGTTTAAACTATAAATTATCAGTGACATGTTTGATAGATTAGACGGGTTGATAGTGTCTTGGCTGCTAATCATTATTTTCTGCCTCATTGCCACACGGAAGAAGGATTTCGTTAATCCTTTTGTCAAAGTTGGCAGGTCCTGTTCGGGGTGATTTGGATCGCAATACCAATCGGAAGCTCACAAATGTAACTGCAAGACTTGGAGGAGGTGATCTGAAATATCAGAGCAATGCAGCCTACAATTTATTGATTTCTTTAAAGGTCAGCCAGCGGTATAGAGGAGGGCATAATATTTTATTTATTCTTTGGGATGGGGTTTTACACTTGCGAAAGGTTATAGGAAAATATGCATGTTGAGTCTCCTGGACGAATTGCTTATTCATAAGATGATTAACTTTGTTACTTGAGTCGTGATTTCCCTTAGTTCGAATATTTTTTATGTCAAAATACTTTTGTGCGGATGCCTTATAGATGGTGTACAATTGCATTGTGAAGTCAGCATATGAATAATTGCTACAAATGTTAATTGGTATTTCCTGTCCAGTAATTTGCTTCAGAGGGAGGGGATGAACTATTTAAAGCAAATAATTGTGACCAGTTCAGTGGAAAGCTATTTTTTCCTCTGTCTAGAGGTGACTAATATTATCTTTCTGGAATGAGATATGTGATGAGACCAATAAGGTTTACTTTTTGTAGCTGTATCGAGGAGTTATTGGGTAGTCCTGTGGTTAAAGAGTTTGCTCAATATGCCAAAGACCCGGGTTTGATTCTTGGTACAGTGTGTGAAGGCTGTCTGTGACTTTTGCTACCTGTCTGAAGCCCAAGTCTAGTCAAATTCTGTTCAGTCTGGTTTGTTTGTTTGTTGTTCTTGTTCGTTCAGTCTGGTAAGCTCAGTTTATAAAAGTCTACATAACACTTATACTTACTAAAAATGAGTCAGTCTAGTGGATACATGTTTTTGGCACAAACTGTGACAACGATTTTTGGTGTTGCCTTGGTGCAAGGATTCATGAAATTATTGATGCACTGCCATTGTTTAATGACCAGTGGCAATACATCGATGTCAAGTTTCAATATCAACAGTTGATTTGAATACCATACTTGAACTATTGATAGTTTTGACAGTAGTAAGACAATGAAGAACACACATAATATCACCACCTCTAGCGATTCGCTTCCATTCTCTTTTAGTCAGAACACATTCACAATTTTACATCTATATCAAGAGTTATATACCAACAAGTCTCTTGGCACTCTGTATCTAGGAAAAGGTGGACGTGTCAGGATTAACATCAAGTAGATTAAAGCTTGGAAGTATCAACTGTTGGAAGATAAGATGCTCTGAATATTACCATTAATTTTTTCCACATCATGCAGCTATTGAAAACAACATGGCTGCCATGTTTGTGTGATCAGGACACCATTTTTAAGGACTTCACCTAGTTTCATAAAACATTATCCAAGTGCTCACTACTGCTTCACAAAAGATCTCAGGACATCCCATTACGTACACAGTTCATGTCAGAACGACCTTTTGTGAACTTTGACCGACGAATGCAATGACTAACAGGAAGTCAACTAAAGTCACTCAGAAAGCAGCTTTCTTGAGCTTTACGGTGCTGATTTCAAAATGGCAACTTTCATCCCAGACTGCAAAATGTTTTGATTAAGTTCTCGATTCAAAATTTGAAAACTGATCAAAAGAAATTCTGGAATGTCTCATAGATGGCTGTGATTGTATGTCAGTACTTCCCATAGGCTACAGACTCTCTCTTCCATTTTAAATGTTTATCCCTTGGAAGCGAGATTTAGACAGTGACTGTCGTTCAGAATTCTCTGTGTTGACCTTTTTGAGGTTCTGAACTGTAATGGTATGCTCTCAGATCTTTGTGAAGCTGTAGCAAGGTCGTACTAAACTGAAGCCAGATCATTTCAGAAAGCTGACAGCTGATTGGCTCAAGAACCCACTCATCCTTCTTTCAGATTGGGCAGTCAGAGTTCACACAGGGTTCACTTGACCTTCTATGGATGTGTCCTCAAGTCTAACACATAGAGCTATCATTTCAGAGTAGAAGATCTGATTTTAGGGAAGAATGCCCTGATTGTCAAACGTGATCTTCATATATAGTCACCCATCGTGCTAATGCCCTTCATAATACCGCTTGGACTTTTTGCAGGGAACTATTGGTCCTTTTTCCTGGATAAATCCTTACCCCTTGACCTTGTTCCTTGGAACCATAGGTCCTTATTCCTGGATAAATCCTTACCCCTTGACCTTGTTCAAGGGAACTATAGGTCCTTTTTCCTGGATAAATCCTTACCCATTGACCTTGTTCCAGGGAACTTTGGGTCCTTATTCATGGATAAATCCTTATTCCTTGACCTCTTGCTTCACATATATATTGCAACAGAAGTACAGTGATTATTTTATTAGATGCATCCTGCATATATCATCTTGATCAGCGCGGTTAAATGCTGTTTTTAGGTTCATAGCGACAATTTGGGACAACCTTTGTCTTGATGAACATTTAATTCCAAGGCTGACCCTGTAACCATGACATGTATATGTCTAGAATCACTAAATTGCCATTACAAAAAAGATGATCATATCTACTTGTGTATAGTAAATACATTGTACATTTACTTGTACGTACCCCAAGCAACCAACTCCATTTTGTCACTTCCTGCCAAGAACTGTACACTGACCCCTTGCAATCTGGAATTATTATACAAATAATCATTATCAATGTTGTTAATTTGGTGGAGATATCAGATATGACAGATTTTTTGGTCTGTCCTTTGATGTATCTGATTGCAGGAATGTGTATACTGATGATGATGGTGATGGTGATGATGATAATGATGATGATGAATATGGCTTACATGTATGAAATTTAAATAGTAAATAATACAAAAATCTTACACAATGATGACTTTCTAATTCCCCAGTGTCCAATACCATTTGAGAATTCTTACAATCTGTACTCGTTTAAATGGAAATGCTGAAAGAATTTGTTCTTTTGCTCCAGCTACTCCGCAGAAACAGCAAAGTGCAAGAAAGTCACCTGAAGAGCAGCAACCTCAGCCACTACGCTGCCATTGTGCATGCAGCGGAAAATGTGCCAGGAACCATAGAAATTCTGCAGCCTTTCTCCTGTCCTGGAAAAAGAGAGAGCCTCATTGTGGATGTAGTTGCTTGTCAAGGTCATATCTGGGTCAAGGTCATTGCAAGGAAGGCACAAGCCCTGCATCTTGTTTGGGCAGGTAGGAAAGAAATGAGTTGTTATCCCCCTGCCACAAAGTGGAAGGGGTAAAAAGGAATGGGTAGTGTCCGTCCATCCGTCCGTCACGTTTACAGAGCAAAACTAAAGAACCATGAGATATATCTTAACCACACTTGGCAGATAAATAGGTCCAGTGGTAAACTGGTGCCTTTTGATAGTTTGGGATTTAAAAAAAAATTATTTCTCAAGTTTCCATGGCAATGACTTTGACTTGGCGGGGGATATGAGTATTTCATGCTTGTTTATGAAATTGTCTTTATTTATGTTCTGTTCTCTGTGTGCAGGTTTAGCTGATTTAAACTGTCGGAATGTTGTTTGTTGTTTAACACTGCATGCAGCTGTATGCCAGCTGAATGAAAGTGACCTGTAAATAATCGAATCTGGACAAGACAATCCACACATTTTGAAAATCAGAAGCTCTCAGTCATTTTCTAAAGCAAACTCTTTGTGAACTCTCACATTTATGAGACAAACACAATGTCACTTTGGAATGCTATGACGTCATGACACAATAGGTTGTGTCACAGGCTTCCATGATGACTGAACTCGTCTGGTTAAGAGAATATGCAAAGAAAATTGCTAAAGTTGTTCTGATAAATAGTGATTTTACTTAATAACTACAAAGGTGTCAACATATGGACAGACTTTGGGAAGTGTATCATAGCATACTGATGTCCCTATTGGGAATCTTGTTTAGGAATCGGCCCTTGCAACCTTTGCTTGTCATAAGAGGCGGCCAAATGGATCAAGTGGTCAGGCTCAGTGACTTGGCTGATGGTGTGTCATCGTACCCCGATCACATGGATCATTGTTCATAATATCAATCACTGGACTGTCTGGTTCAGATTCAATTATCCACAGACAACCATCATAAAAATGGAATATTTCTGATTGTGTCGTCAAGCAACAAATACACTGAGATCTAGCAGAGACTGACAAATGTTCAGAGTATTTAGAGGGATTGAAATAGGTCTGTGTTGGCCACCAACCAAGCTCATTAATTATCACACCGACAGGAAATTAAAACCATTCAAAGAACAAAGGTTCAAGGGAATCAAACTTTGCCATGAATCAATTGAGAAAGAAGCTTTGGCTATTTTTAGCAAGGCTGTAGGAGACCCATAGGATGGGGAGCATCTGTAAGCTGCAGATAAGCTGTGATGACAATGAGTGTTGAGAGAAAGCTATACTTTACTAAGCTGCAATAGTGCAAAAAATACCGTAAATCCTTGAATATGCATCTGCCTTGAATACACGGCAGGTCAACCAATGCACCAAAAGAAATACATGCCTGCCTTGAACAAATGCTGGGTCAGCCTTGACACAGAAATAAACATATGTGTTCCTTGAATAGATCCTGGTCATCTGATGCACTGAAACTGTATGGACAAATATTAGACAAGAAAATACTTGAATAATGCTTTCTTTTCAAAATTTCAGATACAAGTAATGTTATAGTAGTGAAAACTGAAAGGATTTAGTTTTTATATCTCATACTCGACTTGTTCCTATCAGAGACCATATAACAGTCTATAATATGGTCTCTGTTCCTATATACCTTTGAAAAAATATTTGAATAAGAATTGGCACAAAGTGGACACAAATGTGACTCTAAAAAACGAAACACTCAAAGTAACGCTGGTCCAAGGACCTTTTAAACTGAATGGGCAACAGCGCTTATGCAATGATTTATGTTCGCCCATTTGAAACAAGGTCAAGGGCAATGAGTTTCCCAGTGCTCCAGAGTTTTCTAGGAAATGGAAGAGGATTTGGGTTCATGCTTGGATGAGTTGAGTTGACACTGTGGCGCAGTTATTGGATGCTGGTACTCGAAGAAATGCGGTGACCAGGGCAAGGCTTTCAGCCTGTTTAAGAAAGAACAGTTTGGGTTTTGTTTGAGAGCACCATCAGGACTGAATTTGGAAATGTGTTTCAGAGATATTAACACTATTCTTTAACAAATAATTTGATTAATTTCTGTGTGACACACTTGTTGATATTTGTCCAAATCATCCTTGATTCCTTAAAGCTCTTGGTTTTGTAGTAGCTGGACCGTTCAAAACACATGGGGCCATTATTATAAAATTCTGTTTCAGGCAACATGACTCATGAAGTTTTTTCATCCTGATCATTAACCAATTTGGTATGCTGAATAATGAGTGTATGTTAAACATATAGGTTAAACACTGGCAAGAACGTTTTTTCAGTTGGAGTCATTTTGCAGAGTTGAGTTGGTTGCCCAAGTTAATTTTTTTTTTAATTTTGATCCGAGTACTGATATCACTGTGTGCAGGGATGCATCTCCTAGCATGTCAGAATCCTACGATAGCGAGTCTGAATCCCAGATTTGCACATGTAATTATTCTCTTGCTTTGTCAGCACCATTCTCCTGGGTTCCACTTAAATGGTAAACAGCAAAGATCTGCATTACTTAAACCTTTTTCCCACATAGAGCTGATAACTAAAATACTGTCTTTCTTACTCACTCTCTACTGATAGATTTAATGTTCTCAAATTATTGACAATCTTCTCATCAAGGCTTCTGTTAAATCTCTTGGAAGTGAGTGAGTGAGCATGGTTTTACGCTGCTTTTAGCAATATTCCAGAGGGGGACGCCAGAAATGGGCTGCACACATTGAACCCGGGTCTTCGGCGTGACGACTGAACGCTTTAACCACTAGGCTACCCGACCGCCCCTCTCTTGGAAGGATTAAGTGCATGGGGCATGAATTAAACATTAAGTTATCAAAAAACTAGTTATAGTCAGAATCCACTGTATGAGTGAGTGAGCTGTGTGAGACACTGCTTTGAGCAGTATTGCAGTTATAGCCAAACACTGTTGTGTCAAACTTGGATGTGTCAAACTTGTGGTTGTCTCAAAGTAAAATCTTAGTCCCTGCTTTTTCCTTCTTTATTCATCATTATATCATGCATGATATAACATTTATACTAAGGTTTCATTATAATAATTAGATCCACAACAAGTGCCTTTTATGAGTTATCATGGTGTAATATTTCTACAACATTTCATATAATTATGGTATAGCAAGTAATACATATCAGGTAAAATGCATATACAAAATATCAGTAGTTTCAGTCATAGCTTTTAGATAGATGCTAGCCTAAAGTAACGAGAACATCTCCTAGACATACTATTCAATATGACAAAAGTTATATCTACATAGTTTAATAGATTTAAAAGCTTTAAGATAAATACTAGCCTAAGGTATCAAGATCCCATCTCTCAGACATAATATCCATTAAGACAAAAGATATGTCTACATAGTCTTATAGATTGCCTTGAACTATTTTATTTAAGTAAATCTGTCATCACCTATATTAGAATAACATTCAGCAATTACTTCAATTTAGACTCATAAAGGTTTAGCCCCCATACAAGCTCGTCTACAGTGACACCATAATCTCTTTCAAAGCACCCAGTAAATATGTCAACAAGATTAGTGCCAGTCCAACAGGACCACTGGGATTAAGTATTCCCCTCTGTCTAGCCATTCATTAACCATAAGGCACAGCCCATCATGTATCAACCAATCATATTCCTTTTTATTGTTCTAATTTTTGTTAAATACATACAGAAGCAAGATGTTAAGCAGAAGGTTTTTTACGCTCATACCAAGCAGACCTCTCTCCCACAGCCCAGAGGGTTGTACCGACTCTCTGCAGCATCTAGACTAACATATAGTCTCTGAAATGAACATATCATACAGAAAAAAACAGTTGTTCAGTTATCTTAATAAAAATCTAATAAAAAGGGAGCCCAGTGATTCTCTTCATTTCCTGATACTGCAGTAATCTAGACTTGCCAAACATTATAGACTTGCATGGGCTGTAGTTGATATAAATGTATCAGGGTCTGTAAGACAGACTATGCAGCATCCACAGCTATATTTTAAGATATTGCAAATTGTTCATTGTTAATTGTTCTTGTAAATAAAATTGTGATTAGTCTCCTGTGACTCTGGCTCTTTGCTGACTAATTCGCCCAAGAAAACCAGCACACTTTTTGGAAGGTTTTTTTCCTCAGAACAGAACCACAATAATTAACCTCTGATGTGTTGAGGGGGACGGCTGGCCCAGTCGTCTAAGGCGCCGCAATTCGCTGTGCAGAGTTGGGTCCCTTGGACACGCCAGAAACCAATGATTGTACGTTCGCCCCGAAAATGCTTCAAAATTTGTCAGCACCATACCCATACCTGCATCACTTCAGGCTTTCCTCCCACATTGACCTGACACGCCGTGATATGACTGGAATACTGTTAAAAGCAGTGTTAAACCCAACTCACTCACCCACTCTGATGTGTCGAAGTTACGGTTGTCTCAAAGTTATTTTCCAGTCCCAAATGTACTTCCGGCACAAATTTACTGTGATAAGACAATCTCGGCACGATGTCATCACAGTTCAGTTAACAAGTCTTAACAGCTGGAAATCTCCAATGCATTCAGTTCAGCGTGTCAAAGGCCTATTGTCTTCTTAGTTGCACTCAGTGACACCAAACTTCAAAGAAACGTTTCATTGATGTGTCTATCAGGGATTAACAGGTCATTTGAATGGATTCCTGAGTGTCATGTGTTTATCTTGTGATTACAAATTGTGGAATGTGTCACGGAATAGGATTTGCTTTGATAGTCTTTTTGTTTCATTGGTGTTATAAAATGACGGATAGAAGCCGAAATGAATCAGTACTGTTAGCAACATGACTGAGCAATCTAGTAAAGGCCAGGAGTATAACTGGATCAGATGTTCCAATGCCTTAAAAAGCATAAACTAACAGTTAAATTGATTGAGAACTATTATTGGTCAGACATTATTGAAAGCTTTTACTCAAATGTGATTCCTATTTCATTTTTTTTTGTAAAAGGTTTTATATAAGCTTCTGATGTTGAATATGTGAGTTCTTATGTTTTTTAACATGCCTGTATTTTATACTTTTAATAATACATAAATGTATACATAATTTA